ATCATTATCATCATTATCATCATCCTTACTTTTCACCTGCATTCCAGGTGTTTTATGGAAGAAGTAATAGTATAACTGTGTTGTGTCCAATAGAATCTGATCACAGCTGTACTGTATGGACTTGTACCACCATGTGCCCTGGTAGAGAAAAGCATAATAAACAATCAATAGGCTGTTTGCATGATGGTGTCATTTGACTCCCACTACCATAATGCTTGGCAGATTTTCTCTCTTATCCAAAATTGTATTCCTTCAAGAGAATATTAAGGCAATTGGTGCTAATTAACTGAACAAAAGAAAGTCTGCTAGTAGAGGCCAATGATGCCATGCAAACGTCCTATTCAAATCTTACTTTGAGATCAAATCTTAGTCAGAGAGGCACACTGTTTCTTATACATGTTATGGCATTAGAAATGTACCAATTTTAAAAGACACCCACTTAATATACTTTTTCAGAAACTTGTTTTATCTGGCTAGTGGGATTGCATTTATGCTCAATACAGACATCCTAAAACATACATAGGCATTACTGTATTATAGGATGGCATAAGTTGCATATGCTGCTAATGCATTGTCCTTCACTTCTGAATGCAACATGTCAGGTCGCTGGTTCAAGCCCTGTGAATGTTACACGTGAAGTGAGTTTGTTTGATGTGTTGTTCTCTCCCTTGCCACAAGGGTTTTCCTCCAAAAGTGAGAGGGGAGTGTACTACCGCTACACCCCCCTTATTCACTGAATAATATATATATATATAATATTCATTAATAGACAACAATACTTACAACACTAATTGGTAGAATAATCATGAATGCCAGACCATATGCCGCCAGTACCTAAAAGGTTTTAACAAAATCTTTTGGAGATATCTTTGAGGTGCTCTAGAAAATTTATCAGATACTGGGAAAGGGATTTTCAATCTGGACCTTTGGACACACAGCACTGGGCTCAAACAGAACCAAGATAGACAAATTAACTTGTATGTTGTTTTCAAATTTCACACCATTTGTTATTCTTTAGAGTATCATTTCTCTGTTTAATGGTTGCACATGAGAAGACACATGAATATGGATACAAATGCAACAAAGAATATTATTCTCAAGAGAATAACATGTGGTCTGGGATGGAAAGAATTAGATACAAGGTTAAACACATTAAACAGGTTAAATAGGTTAATTCTAATTGGTTTAATTTTGGGTTAGCAGAAACAAGTTGGGGTATATGAAAATAACTTAATTACTTACCCACATTGAATTCTCTTTACTGACCAGCCAAGACGGCAATGCAATACCAAAACTAGTAGCTAGGAACCAACAAATGTTAATACTTTTTGAGTAATTCGCATTCATTTAACCACTGTTTAGAATTCAAGAGAGGGAAGGGAAGATAGAGTGAAGGGTTAAAGGGAAAGTAGAGATGGGAGAAAGTTGAAAAGGGGAAGAAAATGTTGAAGGGAGAAATGAAGAAGATGGGAAGGGGAGAAATGGAAAGGAAGGAAGTGAAAAAACGTTGAAGAAGAAAAAATGCAAAAATGGGAAGTGGTGGAAGAGAAGAAAAGTAAGAGATGGAAAAAGGGATAGAAAGTGGGAAATGGGAGTGGAAAGGGAGACATTAAGGAAGGACAAGTGGGTGGGAAGAAGTGAAGAAGGAAAAAAGTGAACAGGAGAGAAGAAGGAAGAGTGAAAAAGCATAGGGTAGTAGTGGTTTGCCGTACCTCCTGGACCGTCCGGGTTACCAAACTCCTCCCAATTCTTCCTTGATTCTTCATTCGTCAACCTGTAAAAGGAAAAGAAATCTTAGAGATATTTAATGTCATCTTACAGTTCCCAAAATATATTTTCTAAACTTGTGAATATAGCAGGGAATTGTAAAGAAGAAGCGGAAAGGTGTTTGTATTGGTACATTGCCCTCCTCCCCTACAACCAAGACCAAGCTACTCCCCTGCTTTAGACACCTAAAGTAGTATCAAGCATTATAAACTAAATGTTGATTCTGATTGGTTGAGAGCTTGTGCTTTATGAGAGCACACAATCTCGTACCCAGAGCCTGCGTTTCTTCTGGCCTGCGACGAAGAACTAGGGCTCTAGCATTATCCATGTTTTGAGACCAGGATTTCTTGGACTTCCGGTATATAGGCACACGCGTTCCAAGACTCGCCAAAAAATTAAAATATTCCCCCCCCCCGATTTTTAATTCGTACTATGATTTTTAATTTGATTTTGAGTTCGATTTAATTTTAATTTTGCTTATTTGGACTGTTTATATCTCACTTTCCGAAAATTGCGCATGCGCCAAAATACAGATTGCTGATGCCAGAGCCCTCGTTCTTTGCCGCAGGCAAGAAGAAACGCAGGCTCTGGGTACAAGATTGGAGAGCACACAACAGTGCACACACGTTCAGTAGCATCATTCCTATCCAAAATGACGTTTTTTTGTAATTTGCATTTTATAAAAGAAATAAAAAACTTGCTCGTTGTGCTGTGTGAAGTTATAAAGCACTTGGGGATTGGCAGAACACTTGAGAAGTGTCGAGAAGCACTCCGCTACACTTCTCTTGTGTTCTGCCAACCCCTCTGCACACAGCACATGCTTGTGCACGTGTTTTCTATTTCTTCAATTCAATAGGTCTCTCAGATGGTAAGTAAGTAATTACTTTTACCCAACACCAAAATAAATAATCTACACACTATTTTGGAGCATAATGGTTTGACTTTTTCCCTTGAGAGATTAGCAAATAAAGAATTGCTTATTTTCAATGTATTATTTCTTTTCTAATAGTTAGTAACTTACGCCTCATAAGCCTTGGCGATTCTCATAAATTTCTTAGGATCTCCGGATTCTTTGTCAGGATGGAACTTCATGCTGAGTCTCCTGTACTGTCGGCGGATTTCTGCCATTGACGCACCCTGCGGGGGAAGGAAAGATATGATTACAACTCAGCTAAATATATGAGAAATAGACTCCTACCCTTGAGTATTATTGTTTTTGGAGTTTTCAATACCAGCTTGATTAAGCATAAAAACATAATGAATAGGCTGGGAGCAGTGAGCGAATCTTTCCCATGTTTTTCCTAAATTTTGGAAAACTTAAATCGAAAATGGGCGGTGAGTTCATGAAAAGTACCTGGCGAAATTAGCCGGCTGTTGGATTTCACTAAAAACCCTGATTATGTCATTTCTTCTTGTACTAGCAATGTGTAGTTCCAGAAAACATCCATACCCCACCCAGAGGGAATTGGAAATTTTGGAGACGAGGAGGGTCAGAGAAAGAACAAAATTACAGAGTTTGTAAGGAAAGAAATGAGAAGTTCCAGGGGGTAGTGGGGTTCCTTTTATAAATTCCCTCTGTAGTGGAGTATGGAAAAAATCTAAAATTGTGTGAAAAACTGTGTTATATATATTTGCAGATTATAAATAATTTATTATGCTCAATCATCAACACCGCTGCTCTAAACAGTTTCACTTGTTTCGTCTTTCATACTTACTCGATCTATTTCGAGTACATGGTAAGGATCATATTCCACAAACTCCCGTTCGAATTGAGAAATTCTGTAGCCGCCATACACGAACAAGGCCCACAGTACGACCAGGGCAAACAAACTGGTAAAAAGACAAACCATGTTATCAAGTTTTGATTTTTGAATTTTGATTTTTTTCATGCAATGTTGTTAGTTATTGGTCTTCAAAAAAACCTTCACATTTTATTGATACCCTGAAATAACCTTTGGTCTGATAAAAGTCAAGTCAAGACATATGGCTAATTGGAAGATCAATAGGAAAAAAAGGGGCTTTCAATTAATAGAGCATGGGGGGAGGGTCTGCAAAATTGTGGGGGTTACATTATTTTGAGAAAGTGATTAGGGGGATTATCACATACATTATTTAATGGGGGCTGAGAACTATTGCAGGATGATGAAAGGAGGGTTACGCAGAGGGGCTTTGGGTAATGTTTGCAAAGCTTTCAACACCCTCCCTCCCCCGAGCAGTAATAAATGAGAACCCCCTTAAGTTTCAATAATGAATGGTCATGCAAAGAGCTGCCAACAAAAAAAATCTCTTGGCAAAACTTTTGTTTTTAAAACAAATGCTTTTATTATTTCGACCTAACTATGAATAATCTATTAATTAATACTATTGTTCTAATACTTGCATTAGACATATAGTTTGGTGGTCATGGCAATCAGTGAATTATACTAGAATGAATTATTGGAATGATTTAATTACTTGTTATTAACATAGTAACAAAGGGTAAAACCTTGTAATTACTATTGTATCTTTTACTCTTAAACATTAGAAGTTAAATATCAAAAATAAATAAATTATTTTTGTCTTTTTTGAGCCAATTTTTCTTGGAAACTAAATTAAATTAATTTAAAAAATAATTTATAAAGTTATAAATTTTATATAAATTATATCATGAAAAAAGTGAAATTCCCCCTTCTCAAAAAAGAGGGTATTTTTTCTATTGTCCTCAAGAAGCTTTCTCGAACTTTGTGTTAAATTTATACGTAAAAAATTGTTTTCGAATCGATGTATTGTACAAGTCTTATTGATACAAATTACATGTATACAAACATGGGATCTAAAATATATATCTCACGTATAAATAGAAAAATAGAAGCAGAAAGAAATAATCTAGGATGGGTTTAGTTCGATAAGGTATGGATTTWAAAAAAATCGTACTGAAGAGAGTGTTTTTGAGGACTTCTTACCTAAAATATCTGATGGTCTTCGACTTGGGTTTTACTTTGATCAAACGATGTCTTTTTTCCAAACAAGGTGGACAATTACAAGCGCGATCATTTTTTTTCTCCTGGTCTGAAAGACAAAAGAGACACACCGAGATAAGAAGAGATAAACTAGCCACAAACAAGCGGCAAAGGGAAGTCAATTTAATGCGAAGAATTAGGAAGCCACAGAACAAATGACACGTCGTCTTAGAGAAGGAACTCAGTACGTGAAGAAAACCCGTGGAAAAATCATTCGTTTTTGCTCCAAATGAGCCCAGAATAACTCACCTTCTACTTTAGTAAAGAACCATATGTAATACGTCAAAGGGACTAAGATCAGACCGTAGAATGATATTACAAAATAATAAAATGTAGTGCCTTTGTCATCATATTCAAACTTCGCACCCGCCATCTTGGTTGGTTTGAAAGTGACTGCATTCGCTGTTCGCTGGCGATCGCTGGCTCATTCGGGAATTCCCGATAATATTACGAGTTGTTCCGATTACATTACGACTAAATATAGCACACAGGGAACCCAGTGTCAATAAAAATACCATAGGGACCCCAAAAAAGCAAAAAATACATATTCTAATAATTAATACATATCTCAAAGGAAAACTACTGTAAAGAGAGCATGATTTTTCATATTAAACAAGACGCTCTTGGAGCGTGCACTGGATTGCCCAATATGCTGGTATGCTGGAGCTTATTTAACACTCAATCTTACTACACCTAACATAGGTGTATTTTTCTTTCAGAACTTCCAAACACTTATTTTTTCTCACATCAAATTTATTCAAAAGTTAACACCTTTTAAATGTGTTTTCATATCTTTTAACCAGTAAAGTGGAATGCGGTTTTGTAACCGGAGAAAACAGCTTTGTGTTACTGACGTCACTATGTTTTAAGTTTTCACAGGCAACCCAGTAATATCTTTTTTTTTTTWAATTTCCAATTCCTTTTTGCATTTTTTATCAAACGCAGCTCTCATCCTTTAAATGAGATACAAACAATATTCCCCTCCCCCAAAGTATGCACAAGCACAATAAAAAGTATCGGTTATTGTATTTATTGTTGGTTGATCAATTTTCAGCATTAAGAACAGTTTTGTTTTAGCTTATTTCTGCATTCTTCAATAGTGAAGTTATCTTCCCCATGGTGGTGGTGAGGGGACTGCCTTTGTACTGTGCCACGCCTTCACTGGATACCAATAGGTCAGGCTGAAAGAAAAGAATGAAATATTTGGATGAAAGGAGGGGAACGTTCAGGTTATATTCTTAGTTCAACTCACTTTGAGAGTTTCAAAAATTTTCTTCTTTGGATTTAGCTGTTCATCTGGTTCTGCAGGAAGAATAGAATAGAATGAATAAACAAATGGATAGATCAATAGGTGGATGGATGGATGAATGGATGGATGGGAGGGTGGATGGATGGATGGATGGATGGATGGATGGATGGATGGATGGATGGATGGATGGATGGATGGATGGATGGATGGATGGATGGATGGATGGATGGATGGATGGATGGATGGATGGATGGATGGATGGATGGATGGATGGATGGATGACCAACTGTCCAATTGACTGGCTGATCGACTGACTCACCTCCCAGTTTTTTATGGTCATAGCCCTCTACAGTCACCCTGTCGCCTGGTTTACATCCTTCTGGTGGGGAGAGAGGAATCACTTTCCGTTGATCACCTCTGAAAGAAAAAGATTACATGTAAGTGAATTCTTTCTTTGGGTGAGTAAAGTCCAAAAAGGTTGTGAATTATTCGGATATATAAAAAATTGTTTTACTTTGTAGCAGAAGCTGCAAGCAACATTGCCTCTGATTTGATTCCTGCAATGGCAAAAAGATAATGAATGAATAAATGAAGAAAGAAGAGAAGGAATGGAAAAATAAAAATTAATCAATTAGTGACATGAGCCGATAAACTATTTTATTGTACCTCGCATGTTGACAGGCTTAAGGTTACACAGCATGACAACCATTCTGTCTTGTAATTCTTCCTGCGTCAGATAGGCTACCAGACCACTGACGACAGTTCTTGGCTCTGAACAATGACGAATGGAATATTAGCAAAATAAATTCCTTCCTCTTACGAGAATAGAGGGAGAGAGAAACACTTGCCATATTTGTTTGACATATCAAAAAAAAAACAGACCAATATTTTATTCAACACACACACTAATTTATTTGCATCAGTGAGTGCAAAAGGAGATATTGAGGTTAGCCCTATCGTGAATATCTCCTAGAATAAAATTATAATTTAGTAGTTGGTTTTCATGGAGGGAGGCAAACTGGAGAACTTGAAAACCCTCAAAGCACAGGAGAGGACCAACAAACAACTCAACTCACATACAACACTGAGCTCATTGGGACTTCAACCCGGGTTGCATTGGTGAGAGGCGAGCGTTCTCACCGCTACGCCACCCATTCTTCTCATAAGACACCCAACATGGTGTCTATGGTGTCACAGGCATTTCAAGAAAAAGTAGCAAAATATTTTCTTTGAATTCCAGAAAGATATACACCTTAAACCCCCTCCCAAACTCACTGCTAATATTATGCACACTTCGTAAAGTATGGAGGCTGAGTAATATTATTGAAAATATCTATTTTTTACTTACTTTCCTCCCCAACATCAATCTCTTCTAAGTAAAGAGTGTCGGCATCAGGATGCTAGGAAAGGGGGAAAAAGACGATTGATAAATAACATAAGCTCCTAATAAAATATGGGTAGGTGATTGACAGCTTATAAGAAAAATTTGATTGGTCATTCAATGAAGAAGACATGCTTAGTGGTTGCTACCATAAGTAGTGAGGGGAAGACCTGTCAGTGGCCATAAAGGTTGGACACATACGTAGATGAGAATAGACTGTACATTCAGTGGTTAATGGCTGATTAGCAGAGGAATGAGTGAAGGATTGTTAAGTGGTTAATGGGGGGTGGTTTGGAGAGTCAGTGCTTGGTGTAGTAAAGATATTTTAATTAGTGGTAAAGAAGAACAAGTAGTTGCTAGTCACCATGTTAGTTTGGCTAGAGGTTAAGGTGTAAGTACTGTTCAATGGTTAG